TTATCAGTTCCTTCGCGTCTTTGGCTGTCAGTGTTTTCTGTGTCTTCGACCCTTCAATCGACACAAGTTTGATTTCAGATCCAAGCCGTGTGTGTTCTTAGACTACTCACCACAGCATCGTGGGTATCAATGTCTTGATGAATCAGGACGTGTGTACGTTTCTAGACATGTTGTGTTTAATGAGAACATATTCCCCTGTGTGTCTCAACGTGCAGATGCTAACAAAAATACTAAACAGTCTAGACGGGCTGTTCCTTTTCCCTGCTATGAGTCTAGCCTACCTAATCGCGAGGATACTGTGTATCATGATTCAGTTACTGTCCCTGATATGGTGCCTGATATTGTGGCAGGTTCAAATCGCACACCTAGTATAAGTAGTGGTCGCGATGATGGGATTCATACGATGGCGGTTGAACCAGATGTTATTCCCGGGGCTGCTGCTCCACTGGAGGTTGATTATAGTGAGTCTATGCCTTCAGGTGTTGCCATAAGTAATTACCATGATAGTCCAGCTGTCAGTCAGGAGCAAGGTGGTTCAAGCAGGACCGTAACTGATGAAAACAACTGTGTGCATGACCAGCACACCACGAATAAACATCACATGGTCACTCGCAGCAAAGTTGGAACTTTTAAGCCTAAGGTTTATAACACGTTGTTTAACGAAACTCCTCTAAATGTGCAGGAGGCCTTACAACATAAACACTGGCGGGCTGCAGTTGAAATGGAGTTCAAGGCTCTAACTGACAATAACACGTGGAAGCTAGTTCCTTTACCAGCTGATCGAAAGGCCATTGGCTGTAAATGGTTGTTTCGTATTAAGCATAATTCTGATGGCTCTATCAATCGCTTCAAAGCGAGGCTTGTAGCAAAAGGGTACTCTCAAGTACCAGGATGTGACTTTGTTGACACCTTCAGCCCGGTAGTCCGATTCTTCACGATAAATGTGTTATTATCGGTTGCAACCTCACGAGGGTGGCAAGTCTACCAAGTAGATGTCAATAATGCTTTCCTCAAGGGTGATCTACAGGAGGAAGTTTATATGTCCCAACCGGAAGGATTTGAATAGACTGGCACTCGTGGTGAAAAGCTGGTGTGCAAGCTTCAAAAAGCCCTATATGGGCTGAGACAAGCTCCTCGTAACTGGTATCATAAGCTTCAACAATGCCTGTGTGATATGGGATTCCAATCCTCTAGAGCTGATAACTCTTTATTCGTTCGTAGTTCGAAGACTGAGGTCACATATGTCGCTGTGTATGTTGATGACATTCTTGTCACAGGCTCCTCTGAAAAACGGGTTAAAGAGGTTAAGAAGCAACTTCACGACAAGTTTTCATTAAAGGATCTCGGGCTTGTCCACTATTTTTTAGGAATTGAAGCCGTGCATACAACATCTGGTATGTTTTTAAGTCAAAAGAAGTATGTGGAGGAACTGCTGCACAAGTTTAATGTGCAAGCCAAACCAGTGGATACACCTCTACCTATTACTCCTAAGTTGAGTTCAACACATGCTGGACCCCCTGTGAATGCTCAACAGTATCGAAGTGCGGTTGGTGCGCTATTGTATGTGTGTCATACCAGACCAGATATTGCGTTTGCTGTTCATAAGGTTGCATAATTTATGCAGTCCCCCTGTGAAGCTCATTGGATAGGGGTTAAGCGCATTCTACGCTATTTAAAAGGTACAGTGGATTATGGGCTCTGGTTGACCAAGGGTCAAAGCCAACTTCAGATAAAGGCGTTTACAGATGCGGATTGGGGTAGTGACCCCGATGATAGGCGGTCAGTTTCCGGGTACTGTGTTTACCTAGGCAGTCACTTACTGTCGTGGAGTTCACGCAAGCAAAGGTCAGTATCTCGATCCACGGCTGAGGCCGAATATCGCAGTCTTGCTGATACAACTGCTGAGGTTCTTTGGGTAAAAGCTGTTCTCGTTGACATGGGTGTTGAGTTGTCGCAAGCTCCAGTTATATGGTGTGATAATACAAGTACTGTTGCCATGGCTGCTAATCCAGTCTTGCATGCTAAAGTTAAACATGTGGACTTAGATGTTCACTTTGTTAGGGAAAAGGTTACGGACAAACAACTTGTCGTCAATTATGTTCCAGCACACTATCAAATTGCAGATGTGTTGACAAAGCCATTAATTACAACTCGGTTTAAGGAATTACGCCAAAAGCTCAATGTGTTCTCATTGCAAAGACTTCAGTTGCACAAATGTTGAGGTTCTTTATGCTTGAAGAAGTTGAAAAGCAGGGTGAATGTTGGAGAGTAAGTTTCACCAGGAAGGTGTGCCAACTGGATTGGTTTGTTGCTGCATTTTATAACTGCTTTCTGTTAAGGTTGTTAGGTGGTTAAGCCAGCTGTATATTGGGTTAAACTCACAGTGGTAACTCAGCAATCAGCGTGGCTATATTAATAGATCTTCGGATCAAGGCTAAGCATTCAATTAGCCTACATTCTGTTTTTCCCTTTACTTTCTCTCCTTTTATTTCTGGTTTTTTTTAACTGTGTTCCACATAGTTTTAACAAAGTCCCCTCCGAGAAGCCATGTAAAATTTGACCCTGGGTCCAACTCAACTAAATGATCCCACAAATTGATACAGACCGCGATACTCGGGCTCGCATACACCACAATGATGAAAACATGACGACCTAATAACCAAATACCCCCACTAAAGCAATTAACAATGCGGATGACCACGACTTTAATTGTATCCCTCCACAATAACCAAATACCCCCACTAAAGCCATGTGCCTCAATGCGAAAAGAGTTAAAAGAGCCCAGAGACCCAATAACCTCATCTGCTTACTCTAGGTTCAAGCAAAACCACCAACGAAAGGTTATATCCTGCCATAAACTGACGAAATTAACGACGATAACTAGGGCTTATGACACCCTGACAATTCCAAAACATGCAACTAAACATGGTAAAAGGATAAGAAGGAAACCTCAGAGTTAAGGAACTTCAATCCTCTCCTTGACATGCTCCACAAGAACCCCCAAATCAGCACTGGAAGGCAAGTCCGCCTCCATATTCGAAGCAGTCGAAGTCGGCTAAATGTGGCCACTGCTCCCCACATTATCCAGCATCACAATTGCGGATTGAACCCATTCCTCTAGAAGAGGGCGATTTGGTGCTTTATAATGTAAACTCTTTTTCACCCGGAGACTTTTGCTACCCACGTCCTTTCGCCATGCTAGATTTCCACCCTTACTTAATGCCACCCTCTCTCGAATTCCTCATCTCTTCTCAACTGTACCGTCATTTATCTGTACCGTCACGTGTACAGAACAAACGGGGCTACACTCATAGTGTCCAGGCCTGATCGGATTTGCAGCATATTGGATACGTCCCTAAGCTGTTTCCTGTTCAAACTAGCCGATATGCCAGCCTGAGATGCACATTGCTGCTAAAATAATTGTCATATTGTGTCTACTCTTGTAAGAGAATTTTCTTAGAGGGAAAATAATTGATCACATCTTATCTAACTAATATATTGGTAATTTTAAAAAAAAGTTATCTTCATCAAATTTTATGTCTTAAATCAATATAATCAAATTAATTTATAGTTATAAATTTGATTAATTAATCGACTTAATCAAAATAAAATCTTGTAATTATTCATTATAAATACCAACTTATTTTTTTAATCATATCCTTAAATATAAGTCTTATATACATATTTAACAAATAATTAATCGAATACATATCAACAGAGATTGTTTATTAGCTCGTGCAGTGTGGGAGGGGTTAGCAATTCATTGGCCTTCTCAACATAACTCGACTGATTTTCAACGGTGTTTTGGGTGATTTTTAACTCATCTTTCAATTAGTATGAGACCAATTATTTTTGTCGGCATTTGGGCATTGTGACATGCACGCAATTTACAAGACCATGAAGGGAAAAAGATGGGGGTACATGAGATTATTACCTCTATTTGTGCTCAATGTCAAACTTTGCCATGACAAATGTGAGGATCCAACCGTCCCAGTCAAGCTTTCTCGCTCAGTGGAGTCCACTGTCTCCCCTGTCTGTCAAAATAAAATTCGATGCATGTTTCAAAGAACCATGGAATACAACATGGTCAAGCATTTTAATCAGTGATGTTGCGAGTAACCATTCACGGCGTAGATCTTGCTATTGATTTGGGCTTCAGGGATGTGGTGATCGAGGGAGATTCAAAAGCTGTAATCTCAAAGTTATCCTCAGAGAATACTGATTACTCTGAGATCAGTGCGCTAATATGAAAAGCAAAAGGCAAAGCGAGGGGTTTACTGCATGTACATATCGACATACCCTCCGGTCGGGTAACAAAGCAGCACACTTGTTGGCGACGATGCATAATCACGATGAAGGCAATCGGTTATGGATCGAGGAGGCTCCTCGAGTAGTGGAAGAGCAAGCTGTTGAGGATAGGCGTGGTTGGAGCCATCGTAGGATGCTCTCTCTTCGTCTGGTTGAAATGTGAATAAGTTCTATTTTGTTATGTTGGTATTCGCCACTTGAAACTTTCATGGGTTTTAGTTGGGTTGTGGAGAAGACAATTAACCGGCTTTTCTTTTTGGTAGTGGTGTTTGTTTTATTTTGTGTGTTTTGCTTAGTTGTACTCTTGTTTAGATTTCTCGAGACTTATATTTTGTTTCTTTTGTTTATTTTATTCAATAAAAGATCGATTTAGTGTTTTGATAAAAAAACAAATAATTAATCTAAACAAAATAAAAAATACACAAAATGTGTTATTTTATTAACCCTAAATTCAAATGCTACAACCCTTTTCTAATTTTCTTTTTATTATCAGCAGTTTACCTCTTCATTACCCAAAACTCACATTTTCTTGTATTATTTATTTGAGTAAACTACAAAGTTGGTTCTCTAACTAAATATTATTTTTAATATAGCCACTGAAAATTAAAAAAATTACAAGCAAGCCAACAAATTTGGATGTCGTCATATAAAGTTTATGTTTTTATTTGTCAGACATAAACCCTAAACCCTTCTCAACAAAAACACAAGCTTTACGCACTCTGTATTTTTTTCTCTTTGGTGGCATAGAGAGAAAGCAAGTCCATTTCTTGAACAATGGCGAAGTTGGATCAATTTGAAAACATGTACGATGTTGGATCGAAGCCTCCGATGCTTCGGAATCTGATTAGACACTACTTACCCGCCGCGAACCACCCTCGCGATCTGAACACCAGCTGTTTTGAGCTTCCCAAACTGGTTTCAGTCCTTCAAACGCACCGCCTCTTGTCGGAATCGGACTCCCACTCCGTGGACCCAAAACTCATTAACGCCTGGAAATCTGCCGTTGATGATTGGCTCGGTTGCTTGTTATCGTTGCTCTCTAGTGACATGGTATATTTTTCAATTCTTTCTTTAGAAGTCCCTAATTGTTTTCCTATGAATGGATGTGGTTATTTCGCATTTTCCTTCCCAAAGCTGAAAAAGAACTGTTAATCTAGTTCTGGGCTGTGGCTATAGAGAAGCATTATGTTAATTCGTTTTTGTAACTAATGTTCAACTTGTAATTTGGGTTTGTTCAATCTTATGTAAATTTTTGCAGTCAGATAAATGTTGGGTTGGAATCTGTTTGCTTGGGGTTACTTGTCAAGAGTGCAGTAATCAACGGTTTTTGACTTCGTACTCTGTTTGGCTTGACAACCTTCTATCACATATTCAGGTATATGAAGTATCACATTAAGATAGATTTTTTTTCTATCTACTTAAATTTCATGCAAGTGGGCTATTTTTTAATTTAACTTTTCAAAAGATTGTTTGTGTGAGAATATGACTATGATGCGTGAAAGATCGCTGTTTTACAATGTGAAGTTATTAAGTTTGTTGGGAATACATTTCAAATCTTCATTTCCAGTGGACAAACGTAAGTCTGGTTTAAATTAGTTGTTTAAGAACACATTGAAATTAGCAATTTTTTTAACATTTAAGTGGCCAACAATATTTTGTTGGTTGTCGATAAACTTATTATTAGTTGTTCAAGAGATTAACAAGAGTTAGTGAGTATACAGATAGTAACAAAAGCTTTAGATGGTGTGATATCTATATGGTTAGAGATCAAAATTAGATGGTGCTTCTGATTTCAGTTGGCCTACATGTTAGATTTTCTAACTTGTTTTTTTATGAGTAGTAGATGGCAAGTTAGCTATAAAGCTTTTATGCTTTGTGCTACTGAATCATGATTTGTTTCTTATGCTGCAATGAATAAAAGAACTATGAAATCTTTATTGTAACAATCATGGCTTGTCTTTGAATTTTATGAGAGCCTAAATTTCTTTCAACATTTAATGTGTTTTCTGGTATGTCTGTGTGCACGTAGAATATTTTGCCTCAATTCTTAATATTCTTTTTTGATGTAGTTAACAATCATGGCTTGTGTTTGAATTTTATGAACACTTGAATTTCTTTCAGTGTTCAATTTGTTTTGTGGTGTGTCTGTGTACACTTAGGCATATTTTGCTGCAGTTCTTAATATTATTTTTTTGATGTACTTGGTGATGCATGTCATATTTTTTTGTTCTAAACAGCCTCCTTCAGACTCTCAACTTGTGAAGATTGCTTCTTGTACCTCACTATCAGATCTGTTGACAAGGTTAGATATCTGTTGTTCTTGTCAACAGTAACACATATAGCATGAATAGGTCCTGACATATGCATACACACACATTTCAATACATTATTTTACTAATAGGATTTATGCTGATAGCAGTTGCTTTCTTGTAACTACCAAACTTTTGTGATTACTTATTCAAAGGAGGGAAGCCAGTACAGTTCAAGGTTAGATTAAAGTCAAGATGTAATGAGTATTGAGTATGCTACAGTGTGAAATCTAAGTCGAGACCTAAGGTTTATTTATCAGAGTCAATACCTTTGCGATCCACTTATAGAGGATTCTGAATACAATAGTATTATACTGTAAGGTATTACTAATCTAGTGAAGTTTGACATTATACTAATCCCTAGAAATCAGAAAACCATTTATCTTCTTATTTATGGTAATATAGGGAACTTTTGTAATTACTGCTAATCTCGAATCTCCTGCACTCCCCTCATGTTGGGAAGCAGATATTTTCCTCTTTTCTTGCTCACTGTCTTTTAAAATGACGTTCTTATCAATCCTCTCGTTATAATGTCTACTAATTAGCTATTTGCAGAAGTTTATGGAGTGCAAATTAATCTACTTTCAACTTAATTCTTTTTAAAATGTTTGTAAACCTCCACATGTTTAGTTATGTCATGTTGAATTGGATGAGGTATGTTGATTGCAAAGTTTATGTCCCAAAGATTGTTTCATTTCACCATAAATTTCCAAAGCTTTTTGAAACGAAAGCTTATATTTATATAAGTTATTTACTTTTGCATATCGCTGGTGCATGGCCATGACTTTTGCTTCAGTTACTTGTTTTGTGATAGCAATTGTTCCAAACAGCAAATTTTAGTGCTCCACATTCTCTATGACATATACCGTAAAAAATATTTTGTAACTTGGAGAGCTACACTTTTTGTTTAACTAGATTGGCTAGATTTTTTGAGGTAAAGAAAGATGCGAATTCGCTTGCCGGGAAGCTCATCCAACCTGTTTTAAAGCTCTTAAATGAAGATAATGTGGAGGCTGTTTGGGTACGTTGTGTATTTCAATGTTTTCTTTTTTGTGCTGTACCTACCAAACTTATATAGATAGAAATGCCTCAAAGACATTGTACTTGTGATTCGTTAAAGTTTCATTACTGTTACTGTAATATTTTTCTTCAAAACATATGATGTTTAGAATTATAATGTGTTAGCAAGTTTTATTGTAAGGGATGGTAGCTCAGATTCAAAAAGATATGAGAAGGCATTCTTTCTTTCGTTCTTTTGCATGCATGTATAATTGCATGTAGATAGAGGCAACATTAGTTGAAAACTTTTAAACTTGGCAGGAAACGGAGGGATGCATTCTTAAGTTGAATGACTTCTATTTGCTCATCTTGTTGCTTTCTAGTTTTGTTTAACATCCTTGTTGTGTCATGTGCTGTAGGTTTGGGGAAATATAATTATGTTTTCTATTTCTTAACTTGGTTACAGAAAAAGAGAGAGTCCTTGTCTTTTCAAGGACCTCTTTTGTACAAGAAGTCTAACCTAATTTAAATTCTATTTAAAATTTAAATTAGAGATAAACTAGGAGACTTATCCTAACTAACTATTTACAAATAGTAACATAAATCTTATCTATAATCTACATGTGCAGGAAGGAGCAGCTAGCTTATTGTACACCCTTATAACATTCTTTCCAGCTTCTATCCATCATTCTTATGACAAGGTAAGCATATTTGCATTACAAGACTTCCGATTTTCGGTAATTGTTAAGTAATGTACAGACCGATGAGCATGAATATGCCCTACTCCCTGACATATCTATGTTGAATATTCATGGTTGTTCACTTTATGATAATATACCTTAAGAAAACTTGGTTCCATTTATTTCCGATATGGATTCGTGATTAACAACTATCCCTTTCGTTCATCATCGAAGATATGGTGTATTTATAGTACTTCTTTTATTTGTAATTGACTATGGTAACTCCTTAAACTAGAAGCATGAAATAAAAAAATGTAGAAACTTCGTCAATAATTTTTGCATGATAACGAATTTACTTTGTACCTGTTGAAAATAATTTTTGCAGGTTGAAGCTGCTATTGCTTCAAAAATTCTTTCAGGGAAATTTAGTACTATAACATTAAAGGTAAATAGTTTCTCTCTTCTGTTATTTTGGTATGAGAAAAAGAAAAGACAGAGGTAGTGTGGGCATATTCCTTTACACACTCTTCTTTTTTGTCTGGTTCAATCTTCAGAAACTTGGCTATTGCTTAGCATTACTCCCAAAATCAAAAGGAGACAAAGATAGCTGGTCCTTAATGATGCAAAAAATTTTGATATCAATTAATGATCACCTCAACGAAGCCTTTCAAGGTGTAGAAGAAGGTAAAATACTATAATTTAACTCCTTTATGGATAAGTCTTCATTTTTCTTGAGGTAAATAAGTAGATGAATCTGTTTTGAATAACTTGCAGAAGCTAAATACGATGAAGCTAGGAGATTATTGGTTACTCCCGGAAAAGATCTGCCATCACCTTTAGGAGGTCATACCTCATTGGAAGGCGGCTCTTATAACAGAACAAGTTCTGAAAGATTACCTACAGCAACTATCTCTACTCTCATGTTTTGCTGTTGTAAAATGCTTACAAGTTCATACCCAGTTCAGGTATTATCATAGGCTTTCTTTTATTTGAAATAGAAATTGGGATCTATGTAAATGTGGTTTTATAAATTTGAGGCCATCAAAGATTATTCTGACTTATTGTTTTCTTCGGAGCTATTGGTCCATCAGAATCATGCCCTTTTAAGCTACATTTATATGTTTTTATTAACAGGTTAGTGCTCCAGTTCGTTCAATCTTAGCTCTTGTTGAGAGGCTGCTGAGGGTTGATGGTTCTTTGCCACCCACCATGCTGCCATTTATGACTTCTTTGCAACGGGAGTTAATGTGTTCAGAACTTCCAGTCTTGCATGCATATAGTTTGGAGCTTCTAATTGCAGTTATAAAGGGGATGCGCAGGTAGCAAAGAGCTGCTTCTTTTACTACAATGTTTCTTATTATTCTTTAAAAGAAAGTAGGCATATATGACCTTAAAATGCTGCTCTCACTTTACCTGCTTATGTAACTAGTTGAACTTTGATGAAGTACCTTTTCAAATTGGAGAGTGCCCCTTTTGTGTTTCTCCCTGATATGATTCTCCTTGTCTGAAGTTGAAATTTTGTTCATCTACTAGCTCAAAATTTCAATTTTAGTCCCTTTACACCAATTTTAATGAAATTAGCCTTTTCACTTTTACAGGATTGAATTCATTAAAAATGCTGTAGAGGGACTAAAAGACAGAACAATTGAGACGATAGGGTGACCGAATATAAACTTCGGCTCTTCTCTTTATGATATCTTTTCTGATCAAAATACTTTACTACATCTTGTCATAACCTGGATTCAATAGTTAGGTCCATTTTGAACTTAAACAAATCAATTGGGAACAAAAAGACAACTTCCTTGTCCTTTGCTTGCATATATGCTGTACTTCTATGTGTACTTTTTTTTTTCCAATGAAAGCTAATTCCATTATTTATTTCCTTTATTTTGTTTGCCCATGCTTATTTGCTTACACCTTTTTTTAAATGCAATCCCATATTCGATTTTTTTTACTTTCTATATTCTGTATTATGCTGATTATAGATCTGTTTGTTTATTGTGTATGCTCCAGTGCTTTTTCCATGCTGCATTTGCATCAATCTTTCTCAGTGCTGTTGTTGGATGGATACCTACGAACACACATTATGAAGTGCGCAAATAAATTAGGCTACTTAGCATACATGTAGTATACAAAAGAACACTAAAATGCCAATGAATTGAAGATGTCACACTGTTAAGGTTCAATATATCTTTAAAGCCTGAAAGAGATTGAGCAATGCACCTTCTTTAAATACCTGTTTAGCTTCCTCCACCATGTGATTTATTTTAAAACCTTATGATTGTTCTGAACTTAATATTAGTAAAATATGTCGTTCCTCGTTTAAGCAATCATCTTCTTGCTTCTTTCCCAGCTTTCGTCTTTGCTCTCTCTCTCACACACTCTGTATATACATATACATGTGTCTATTCCTTATAGATTTCATCCCTGTACGATTTGTTGTTGGTTGATTTAAAAAGTTAATTAGTAGCTTTATCCTTATCTTGATTTTGTTTGCAGGCAACTGTTACCACATTCTGCATACGTTGTGAGAGTTGTTACAAGATATTTCAAAATATGTGCTCTTCCTGAATTGAGAATAAAGCTCTATTCAGTCATAAGGATGTTGCTTCTATCTATGGGTGTTGGTATGCACTAATACTTTGATCAGCTTTAAAATTTTTACCTCCTATGCTATCAAACATCAGTCTGTTACCATCTGCTTCCCCTGAATACTGGTGCCAACATACATATAAGATTCTCAAATTGTCCCATCTTAGAATGAAAATAAATGAGAACCTACCTTAAAGATTGAATTTCACTGTGGCAGAGATAAAACATTATTTTGGCCATATACTTATCTGAAACTTCCAGAAGTAACATTTCTGACCAGTAGGATATTTAACAGTAGCTACATAGAACCTATAGATTGCCACGAAGTGGTATGTCCTGCTTGCTACTAAAACAATACTTGTTTCTGGCAACCAAAGGTTCTTATCACAATGTTGATGCATTTTTGTTCGGCTCATCCTCATTAATAGCTATATATTGGTTGGTGGTTGGTGTGTATTTGCTGCTGTTGCTTTACAATATATGCGACTAGGAGTGACATGTGGTTATTTGTGCTATGGTAAAAAAAGAAACAAACAACAAACATTTTAGCATTTTGAGGCTATATATTAAATGTGTTAATAATGTGATTACAAAATGCTTTTGGTAAATGAATAATGTAGAATTTTGATGATTCCTTCTGCTGAATGTTCATGAAACTTGGTGAAAGTTGAAAGACTGGAGACTGTCTTTTTCAATTGATAATGTTTTAGAATACTAATGGAACATGGGATGGGTTGGTACTTTTTGTCATGTAGGATTATTAGAGTTGATTTTACTGTTGTGGTCTTCTGTTGTCACGGAGATTAGCTTTGTGTTAGAATACTTATATGCAGCCTTTCTTTCTCTTTTAAACCAGGAATGGCTATATATCTTGCACCAGATGTCATTGACAATGCTTTTAGTGATCTGAATTCTCCTGCTGGTGAAGATTTTGAGATATCACCTGCGAACACTGGCCCTGCTTTGCTGCAGCCTAGCAATAGGAAAAGAAAGCATGGTACTAAAACTGGATCTATGGAGAAGCAAGGAGCTAGTCCGAAAGTTGGAGAATCCAATACCCATCAAACGACTCCAATCACTGTAAAAATAGCTGCAGTTGACTCTTTGGAACTTCTTCTGACAGTGGTATGCGAAACACTACTGCATTTACTGAAAATTATCACGTGATGTGATAACTTGGTTGTTCTTATAGTAAATATGATTTAAGCTTATCGAAAATGTGTATAATACCATATTGATGGTCTGTGATTTTATAGTTCATAATAGTTGACAAGTATTCAATGTGTATAATACTATGTTGATTTTTGAAAGGGTGCTGCTTCAAAATCTGATAGCTGGCGATCAAGCATTGATAGTCTTTTACTAAGGACAGCAATAAATTCTTGTAAAAGGGGATGGGGGAATGTGGAAAACAATGTTTTCCTTCCCCATGAACCAGCCTCGGTATGGGCAGATTTCCAGCTCTCGTCATTACGTGCGCTCTTGGCATCATTCCTTGCCCCAGCTCGTGTCCGCCCGCCATATTTATCTCAGGGTCTTGAACTTTTTCGTAGAGGTAACTACTTTCTGCATGGCAACACTGTTCTTCGTTTTTCTCAAGTAAAATGACAATTAGAATGCGTTATTTTCCTTGAGATAATAATGTTTACAATGCTTTTGAGGGTTCAAACATTAACTAAGCACATTTTCAGTTCAAGACCTTTCTCAACTTGTCTCCTTATGGTGCTTATATGGCTCTTCCAGGTAAACAAGAAGCTGGAACAACGCTCGCACAATTTTGTGGTTATGCTTTGTTCTCTCTGGAGGTGCTCATACATCCCCGAGCCCTTCCTCTAGATGATTTCCACCCTGCTTATCATAACCCTACTGATGGAGCTAGCAATAGATTCCCGGAAAATACTTACTCCGGCAGTCAGAAACAAAATTCATTGTTTTTAAGTGCCGCTCAGAGAACAGAAGAAGGTGCTATCAAATCACATGATGATGATTTATATAACAAGTGGCTTGAAAACGAAAACAATGCTTTCAAGGATATGAGGGATACATCTAGACCAAATGATTCATCATTAGCAAATGTTTTAGAGGTAAGCGAACAAGAACCAGCAGCAGCTAATGCAGATTTGCATATGAGAGGCGAAGATGAAATCGTGGTGCAGCCCCGGCGCTTAGAAGAACCAATTCCAAAGTCTCAGGAAATTGTTTCTGCCAATGCGGACACAAGTCGTCCTGCAGTTGGAACAAATCTTGAAGGTGGTCAAATAGAATCTAAGAAGGTTCTTTCTGCTTCTGATAGATTAAATGATATTGATCACGATATGTTGTCTGGTGTCGATAAAGCCAATTTCGATACCGTTGGAAGAAAAACCTCATCAACCTTGCCAAATGTAGAAAAGGGTAGTTCATCTATGACACATCTGGAAAGTGAGTCATCCATGGACTCTTTTCCCAACATTGTTGATGCTGATCCTGATACTGATTCTGATTCTGACTAGGAACATAGGGTGAGAGGAATGGTAATCAATCAACTGTTTAAGTGAACGGAATCTATGACGACATAGGTGGTCTGTACCATGTTTCTTATTAGCAAATTTCCAGAACCAGCCGTTGCGAATCTGAGCAAACTGAGAGGAACACAGAAAGAAGAAGAGCGGATTAAATGTTTCTTTTGTTTATTTCAACATTATGTTTTGGAGAATGGAGATCGGACGGGACATCGATTATGAGGTAAGGCAAGGTGACTTGAGACAACCGGTAGAAAATATATAATATATTCATGGTGATTGTTGTTAGTTGTTACCACAAGGCTATCTTGTAAAAGATGTGTTCCATTGTTTCTGAGATTGGCTGTTTTATTTTTAGCACATTTATTTATGGATGAAAATTTTTCCTTTTCATTTATTTTTCTATCTGGGGTGAGTGTAAGGTAATATTTGTTTAAAAATAACTTTCATCTATTTGACATTGAACGTTCACACCCTTGATAGTTTTGGTACTTAAACTCAAAATCTCAAAGAATAACAATAATTATTTTACTATTGAGATCACTAGGTTCGTGTGGTGTGTGGTTACAGTATTTTGCTTGGTGTTACTAGGGATGGTAAAAGAAACTGAAATTGACTAATTTTAACCTGATCCTGCAATATTGAGTTGTATTTTTTAAAAAAGTAAAATATAAATTTAATCCCTTAAAAAGCATGAAATAATAAATTGTGAAGTGGAATTGAACCTCTTCTGTTTTTATTACATTAATCTAATGTGGTAACACTCCCAAATCATTGTGTTATATGGCTACGGATTACCCTGAATGTTCTCGTTGTGTTAAACTTTGTCATAAATTCTCATGTGTACAGAGTCTACACATAACTACATTATCTACCTCAAATGCTAATTTGGAGAACTAAACTTTTCGGTAAGTGATTTGGATAGATAAAAAGTTGGTATTCTTTTTTAATCATCAATATTCTAATTTTCTTTATGATTTTAGGCGTGTACCACTCAAATTGAAAGGTTTAGAGATTTTATACAATCCAAAGAGTTCACAAAGGGTTTAGCATTTCATTCCTACTTCTTTAAAGAAAGGACTTGCAGTGAGCTTTATCTATGATTATGGGTATTAATAGTTGAGTGTGTTTCCTAATTAATGAGATTGTGTGATTTGGTTTTAGTGTCACTTTGGGGATTTATTTGGGTTTGTATGGTTTAGTGTTAATGTTACTTATGGTTTGCTTATGATTTAATTGAGTTTGTATAATTTTATTATAATGGTGTCCTGTGATTAAATATTAATAAAAAGAAAGGATAATTTTATATGAACAAGTTATACAAAAACAACTGCATTGTGGTAAAAGTCTTCCTACAGATATTCTCAAAGCTTCATTTCCTTGTGGGATTGGACCTTCTCAACTGCTCGCCGTAAAGGCCTTCATACAGATACCCTACTGCATTGTTGAGCTTCAATTTTTCATCGAACACGGTCGTTTTTCACCCATCGTGTTCTTCTTTGACCGATGAATCATCAGAATATGGTTGGCCACTTTAGTGCACCTTATCATCGTTGGTCGAAGACACGAAAAACCTCGCATAATTTATCTCAAACACATCTTTATTCGTGTATGGTTCTTGTGGTTTAAATCTAGCAGATTGCCTTCTTAAACATGCCCTGCAATCAAAACATAAGAGAAACCATTTTTCTCCCCTTTGTCATAGTGAAGTTTTCAAATAAGAAACTAAAGATGATTGAAAATGATTTGCACTTAGCGACAGAAAATCTGCAATTGCCAATTTACTCCTTAGCTTGGACTGGATTTAAGTCCAAATTCAACAGATTTATTTTTTTTATTAGATAATATAAATATCATTAACCATTTGACTAATTAATGAATCTGAACAAATTTAATCATATTCATGAAAACCCAGTGTTTCCTTATGATGTGGAAACCAAAAAACTGTGATTTCACCTTTCCAGTATTTAGTCTCAACAACCAATTTATCAAGTTAAAATGTGATTTTCAGAAGACATAACAATAAAATTACACTCTAATATTTGATAAAAATAATTATTTTTATTTTTAAATACTTTAGCTTTAATATTTTAGTTTAAAATAAAATACTTACGATTGGAAAAAAAAATCATTAATTGATTAACAAGTATGTCTTGGCAAACTGAAATCTAGACATGGCATAACCATATGAGATGCAACACCAATGAAATACAATTTTAAGTTGATTAATTATTTTAATTTTGGGGTTGTTAATTTTTCGAAATCTTAACTACCCTTCTCTCCATAAAGCCAGACATTTCTCATACTTCGTTAGTGCCCAGCAAGGTGACGAGTGATGGAAAAAAAGGGTTTTTACATTCCTGTAAATGCCATAAGCATGAACTTAGTTGAAAAGTTACTTTGGATGCCGACAATACGGACCCGATGTGTGCCTCCGAAACCAAGTCTTCTCTTCGGTTGACGGCAAGCTGATGAATGTGGCATCGAAACCAGATGAATTTGTGCCATTTTCCTTCCAGACACTATCAGCCTTGTAATTAGCACCAGAAATCAAATCACAGAGTTCCAAATGAAACAGAAAGACCATCCAACTATAACTTGATAAAATTATGTAAAATAGTTAGTTTTTCATAGAGACTGTGTATCGTAATGTTCTACTCTTTCACACTTTAATCTCAGCAGAGTCTCCGTTTTTCTCCACCGTGTTACTTTGGTCTTCAACGATGTCTACACCATCATCAACCTTAGGACTCTTCTTACCCTCGATTGTGTCTCTGCTGCAGGCCTGTAAATCGGGATAGTTTCTGTCGTTTAGAGAATGCAACCATAGGGCCACAGTTCCTTCCTCGCGCTCCGTGGAGCCGATATGAGAGTATATAAATTTCATTTTGAATTCCTCTGCCTCTTCTTCATAGTCTTTCATGGACAACTCTTCATGACTATCTTTCCATTTTTGGTTATAAGAAGAAAAGAAGCAATCGTCCAAGTACAAACCAACCTCGGGTGCCGTAGGTACATTGATGCATACATCCCTGAAATTCATCAAGATACGTATTAACCACAAACTAAAATTCGTTCACAGATTCGGAGGGTCATTTTCTCTAAAGTATCTATGTTTAACACCTGTGTCAGACACATTCGGATTTGGTACACGGTATCCTCCAAATATATTAAGTATACCATACTAAACACATACCAATTCAACAAGCATCCCAAATCCGGATAGCATAGCAATTCAATTAAAAACTAAAGTACTTACTTTCGCAATGCAGTTTCAATGAGAGACTCGGGAGCACAATTCCTCATGACAGCAACAGCCACACCGATCATCTTTCGAATCTGATGAAGCATGAAGCTCTGTCCCACAACCTCACACTTGACAAAATCAATGCCCTTGACAGTAACAACCTTGTTCGCGTGAAATGAAACAATATAGCGACGTGCAGCAGGGTCTTCGGCTTTTGTTCTTGTAGTAAAGTTATGGAAGTTGTGAGACCCGACATAGTGATTCAATATTCTATTGAATCTCTCCTGTTCTTCCTTACCGTAACAAAAACCTCTATCCACTTTCTGTTCTACATCAACTTTATCTTCCAAAACCCCAGAATCATCCATTTTGGTAACCTTTTCCTTAAATTCAGAAGTCAGGTTATCTACCTTAATTGCATTTTCTGCATCTCCAATGTTCGATGAAATGTCAGACCGAACTACTGTTGACTTGACTACATTAACTTTATCTTCCGCAACCCCTGAATCATCCACTTCAGTAACCTCCTCTTTAAGTTCAGATATCAGGTTATCTTCCTTAACAACATTTTCTGCATCTCCACTGTTCGACGAAATGCCGAACTGAACCAAAGTCGACTTGGATTCAGGACTACGCTTGCCCATGATGCCTATGACTTTACGACCTCTTTCAGAACATTCCAAGCATTTCACGAGCTCATTACCGGACCCTAAACTAGCCATAACACTTTCCCTATCTCGATGACAACTAGGATCAAGAGCAAAAACAGGGATAAGATAAACATACCGCCGTCGATCACAAAACTTCTTTGCATTAAAAGAGGCTGTCACACGCTTATACCCGAATATCCGAATCTGGGTTGGAAGCATCTGATTAAGGCGTTCCACGAGGCCAGGCGGGTCAATGTAAAACCGCCCAGAAACGACCTGACCAACAGCGCTTACGCCCTTATCGGTTCGGGCCGACCGAGCCCAGTCGTAACGTTTGGGGTTGCCACGATCCTGCTCGGGGACGGCGCCGGCGTGGAATAGCGCTTCTTCGAGGTCACCTTCGATGGTTTTGGCTCCTGGGTTTTTTTGCATTCCTTGATACCCGACACCGCAGTAGGCAAAGAAAATGGCGATTTTGCGGCGTTTGTATCTCTGTTTCTTGGTGCCGGTTGCCGATGCGGCGGCTTCTTCGTCGTCGGACGTTGCGGTGGTAGACATTTTGGGCTTTTTAGGGACAGGTTCCTGCAGCTGTGGCGGCGATGAAGTAATTTTGGTGACGGGGGTATCTGAAGTGTCCATGTTTCGTTTCTAGGGCTCTTAAGGTGACGGAACTCCCCACTTGCTGCACTTCAACTCTTGTGGGCACTCAAGCCTCCAAGTTAAAGAGTAATTTTTTTGAACTAACATTACTAATTATATTAAATTAAAAATAAATAATTAAAAATATTTAAGAAGTTTGAAAAAATATATATTTATAAAAGTCAAATATTTTTGATATTACACAAACTAATGGTTTAAGAATAAAAATATCATAAAAATAAATAATTAAAAATTTAATCAAATAACTAAAAAAATGATAAAGTTAAATAAATATTATTAACCAACTGACAATAACAATGACGTTTTGTTAGTAAAATGTAAATTAACATTATCAAAACTCAATAATAATATATTTTTGATGATTACAAATATTTATCAATATTAAATTTAAAAGTTTTAAATTAAAGATATATTTATAAAATAATCAAATAAATATTATTTAAAATAAAAAAATTGATATTAAAACTAACCCTGAAAAATGTGTTACAAAAGTAAACAAAGAACATGTTATCAGAGAGAATCTAATTGGTAAAATCATTTTTAGATGATTGTTGGATTAAGAAGGAAATGATTTTTATACTCCAACAATTGTATTCTTTTTCTTCTTTAAATTCTTCTCTTTATTTTAAACTAAGGTATTAAATTGGAGATTTATGTTTTTCTTTAAATGAGAGTTAAAAGATCAATTAATTGTGCGTTATCAGGGGCTACTTTTATAATTTTTTCAAAAATTGGGGCTCAATTTTCCTCAATATTTTTCTAACATTGGTTATTAAAGACTTAACTATATTCAACTTATTATTAGAGGCCTAATTTTTTTAATATTTGTTATTAGACACATATTTTTAAAATTTAATTTCTTTTCTAATATTTATTTGTTAGTATGAGTCCAATTTTTCAGTACTTTTATTAGAGGTCTATTTTTTCAGTATTTGTTCTAATTTTTTTTAGTATTTTTTATTATGAGCATACTCTTAAAATTTATTTTTTAAATATTTATTATTAAGAACCCTATTTTTTTAATACTTGATATTATGGAGCTGCCCTTAAAATGTAATTTTTTCAACACTTATTATTAGGAACAATTACTTAAATAACGTTCTGTAACTACAACGATGACCGTTATGCAATGATAACGACATCATCCAAAATCACGATATTTATAAGCCTTATGTCCGCACTAGCCTATGTTATTAAAAAATTCACAACCACGATATCATGAATTATGTTCGCAATAGCGATAAACGCAACACAACCGAAGACATAAATACGAATTGTAACTTAAATCTTGATTAAGGGCCTATTTTTTTGTTCGCCCGAGAACTATCAAAATCTCATAAACGGGCCAGAAAGAAAATAAGTACAAACGTTGTTTGTACTTTATAGTTTAACTCAAGGATGATAGCGAACAGAACAAAAGTAACCTAATTATGACAACAAAACGGTGCTAATAAACCGACGGAGAGGTTACTTAGAAGAAGAAGAAACATGGAGAAGAAGAAAAAATAACCTGGAGAAGAAGAAGTGGGTGAGTTCACGAAAGTTTATTACCATGTCAGCAAAAAACTAATGAAGATAATGGTAGAGAGAAATGAAAATGAACTAAAAGTTCAATAATTGTATTGTAAGTTTCAAAATTTGGATGACCACAATACAAACGTCCTAAAAGTTTAGGAACTATTTATATATTTTACCCTAATAATTATTTTGTTATTTTTAAAATATTGGGGTTGAAAACACAGATTTCTTCATACTTTAATTATCATTCATATAATTTATTTTTATAAAATTTAGAGGGTTCAAAATAAAAATAAAAATATTATTTTTAAAGTAAAAGATCTTTAAGTCTCATTTTAAGAAAGATAGTTTAATTTAAATATTCATTTAAAAGTAAAATTTTCATATATCAATTTAAAATATACTTATATCATCCTATAACAAATATATAAAATTTTTTTTATTACTTATTTGGTTGATTCTTTGTTCGTTTGTATATGTTATTTCGATAATTTTTTAATATATGTGTTAGATGAGATTTTAGTTAAGGGGGAATTGATTTTTCATTCGTCTATTTTGAATAGTTTTAAAGTTTTTTTCCTTCATATCTTGTGTTAAGAGACTTTCAAAGTAATTTGTCTATGTATATAATTGCATTAACTGTTCATACTCTTACTCATTAGCTTGCTATTAGTCGCTCACCGTTATAACTATGTGATCTACGAGATATATTTATAGCTAATGTGATCTACATATTTATTATTTATTTATTGAATAAAATTATTTGTTTTTATTAATTAAAAATAATAATTTTTAATTTATTTTAAGCAATCCATAAAAAAATATAAGCTAAAAAATTATTTGCCAATTGTCTTTATCTACCGGCAGTTCATTGCAGATAACATTATGGATTTTATACAATAAAAAATTATTTGCCAATTGTCTTTATCTTTCTCCTTTTGATAAAAAAAACATGAAGATTGATTCTTTTATCTTCTTCTTTTGGAAAATTTATTAGTTCTTCGAATTGTTTTTTTTTTCTGGTAAGTAAATTTCCCTCTTTTTAATTTAATAAACCAAAGTTAAATTCATTTTTTGATTTCTGGGTTCTTGTTATTTTCTGATGTTTTAATATGGGTATCGATTGAACTTCTTTTCGTTTTTAATCTTGCTTCTGCTTAGCTCAATGGGTTGTTTTTGTTTTGGTAAATTGCAGATGCCTGGTTGTGATTTTTTAAGGGTTTTTATTTCCCTTTTTATTGTGAAATGGAACCCTAGAGTTCATTGAATTATTCTGGAAATATCACTTGGAGATAATTAAGTTTAATTTGAAGGTTTGTTCTGTCAGTGGAGAAGTCGGAAGCTTAGTGATATACATTTTGAGAAATAAAGTTCTGCACTTTCTGGTCAAAATTAGGTTTGGAAACTAGGGTTCTTGGATAGATTTTTATTTTTTTGCAACCATGAATAAGAATAAGCTGTGTGATGATGATTCTTGTTCAAATTGCGGATCAATTTTATTGTAATTGTTTATTTTATATCACTTTAATGTTATCTGGATTTGGATGAGTTCGGTTTTTCAAAAATAAGATCGTATATATGTCCGGAATGTGTTGGATATCGATTTTAGACGTGATCAAATGGCATAGTTTTCTCTTTTAAATCATCCCATTTTGACATGCATTTCCACTGCCATTTTTGACTAACTTCAGTGATGAACTCCCATTCATCTTCAACAAGATGAATGGGTTCTCCGATGTGGACGGCTTTGTGGAAATAACTGAATCCCTAGCAGAGATGATCAAGTTCGGGGCAAACGAACCATCGGTCGGACTTTTCTACATTCAACAGCACACCGAAAATGCCGTTCCAAACCTAGTTAATCTACATGATCATGTTGTAGAAGAGTCTCATCAAGTAATTTTACACATAGAGGACTCGGAAGATTCTATCACCATGGTGAGATCGATGAAGGAATGTGAGGTTTGATCCACGGTCCTGCTTCAAGCTTTAAGATGGGAAGAACTAACTCACGGGGACCAATGTCTTGGGGTCCTGGTTCTGGAAATATCCAGTTGGATAGCAGTAATTATTTTTCAACTGTAATCAAAGTCCATGATACAAAAAGCAAGTAATTTTAAGTGGCCACAACTTGATTCCAAGGAACATATGGAAACCGAGCCTGAGAAGCCACCTCTGCAACCAGCTGCACCATTGGTCCATTGTCGGTTGCATCCGCCAGCACCAGTTCAATTCCTGATACAGAAGCTGATGAGCTACCTGTATCAAGTCAAATGGCCAATGCACTCAACCAAGAAGATAAAAAGGAAGAAACCGAAGATGATGTAAAAGTTCCACATCACAATTTATCATTCTATGACGATTTCAAGGCCGAGAAAGAGGCTAAATTAGAACAATGGTTGCAAGGGAGTGAAGGCAAAAATGGATGAAAGCAAGGGGAGATAGTACACAAATGAGCTTAAGAAATATTGTTCTGTTGTATACATACGGATTGGCGTGATTTATCTGTCAGGTCTTAATTTTCATTTTTCGTGCAATACCGGTGTTATACGTATATTCAGGAAATTGTATTGGGATATTGCCCTATATATATCCTTCAAATACATGAAATTTCTTTAAAACCAAGTATACCTTGGCGGACACGCATTCACACTTACACTCGAGTTCGATGTTTAAGGTAAGTAAAAACCGAGTTCAATTTTCATACTTGCGTTTCTTGCTAGAGTAAAATTTAACATACCCGTGTTGGATACGTACTCGTTGCATGTATAGATACATATATCCAAGTAACTCATACCAGTCATCATAGATCAGAAATCCCAATGCTTGCTAATCGTTGTACAGTTTTTGAGGTTATATTATTATGCCGCAACCATTCAGATCGGGGTTGATCTTCTCAGTTTGTTTGATGAGGTGAGGTTGAACAAGAACCCTATTAAACAAATCGATGCCTGTTCTGCTTCTCACACTGGATCTTATCGGAAAGATTGGCCATGGCAAAAACATTTTTCTCTCACAGACCCATTCACAACGGCCTCATAAAGATTAAACAGTTCGTGCTTCATCGCCGAAGTTGCAGAGAAGTGATTCAGAAGGTCAAGTTGGTGATGTAGAAAGTGGCAACTGGCAAGGATGTCTCCGGTGGGGATCGACCGATAAAAACATCCCAAGACCATAGCCAACAACAGGCTCTTCAACGTGGAAAAGACAACGTTACCTGAATGAGCCAAGAGGTTAACCAAATAGTACAGTTCTCTAATGGTGAGAATAGAATATTTGGTAGCAGCTGGTACAGAAACCTGTTGAAGAACTCGGACGCAAAGCTCTATGCATTTAAGGGGACTGACAGAATATTGGGGCTGAAACAATGTCACTGCACCGAGAACTCTCATGATCTTTGAAATCCATAAATGCCCAGCTCATTGCTTCAACGTCTCACCTTGGCTTTGCCCTATCAAAATGGAACTTCTCATACTCAGATTTCCCATTTGAAATACATTTAACCTATTCTACTTCAATAGACAGATGACATAAGTAATTGAAATTATTATCTTAGTTTTGCCATCATAATTCACATCAAATCAAAAATAAATACTGCAAATGACACTGATTCCCCCATGACTTTTATAAAGAGAGGAACACACCAAGTGAATAACGAAAAGATGGACAAAAAGACACGAGTAGAACGATTATGAGATTCGACACCGGAATAGCAACCAATTGACAATGAACAACTAGCTGCATGGCATAGAAATGCACCAAAAAAGATGAGGCTACTAGAAGCCTTCAGACATTCCTGAAGCAGCGGAGTCGGGAGGAGCCTGCTTTATCACTTTTATTCCCCCTGGTACACTGCTATTTGCTACATTTGGAATTGGAGCTGGAACCATCCCTCTAGTGTTGCGGAGTAATGACAAATGGAGAGAAGGGGTCAGGTAATATTCCTTCATTTTACCATAGGAAGATTTTTATCATACAAACAAACAAAGAAATTGAAAATTTGGCTTTACCCGATGAATTTTTGCTTTAAAGTGCCGGGTTTCATCCTTGATGCCCCTTTACAAAACCATATAAATGTGTTGAAAACATTTTTGTATTTCGATATAATAAATTAGTTTAAATAAATTTTAAGATTTTACAAATGATTTTCTAAATATATTCGATTCAATTAATCGAATATCAAATTATTACTCCAAATCTTTTAAGATCAATTTCAAACCTTACTAAATGTGTAAAATTGTGTTTTATACTTAATATATTTTTGAAACAATTTTCACAAAGTATTTTGAACCAAAATCAAGCCTAAAATCAATTTTTCAGAGTGATGCACCAATCCATGCATCGATGCACCATGAATTAAATTGAACATCGAATGCATTTCATGCATCGATGCACATACCATGCACCGATGCACTGAGGATTTTATGAAAACATCGAATGCATTTGATGCATCGATGCACTCTGGATATTTTGAAACATCAAATGCACTTGATGCATCGATGCACTCTTAGTGCACCGATGCACTAAGGGTCCAACGGTCAAAATATTTGAATTTTACACTGATGCTATTAATTTTATTAATAATTAAACGGCTCTATTGACTCCACTAATCATCCCCAACGTTCAGAAGTGATTCAAGGTGTATTTAAACAAGCTTAGAAGCCATTGATCAATAACAAGAAACATCAAGCAACTAGAATCAAGAGAGAATCAAAGAGAAAGCATCAAACTCAAGTTTGAGCATTTCAAGCCTATTTTTCATTCAATATTCATTTTGCTTTCAAGAACACTTATTGTGCTCAATTGTATTTATTCTTGAGTGTTCTTCCTTTGTTCTAGAATTGTGCAAACATATTTGCCTTGTGAGATTTTTCTTGTGAGTTTGCAAATTTGTAATCTTCTCTTTGAGAAAAGAGTGTTCTCAAGAATTGGGGTATATTCTTAAGGGAGTTGTAAGGTTATCTCTTTGGCCTCAAAAGAAAGAACAAATTAGTGAATTTGTTGGAAAATACTTAGTGTGGATAGCTAAGGTAGTGGACGTAGACTTTGGTTGATAAAGTCGAACCACTCTAAATCGCTGTGTAATTACTTTCAATTTTCTGCAAAAGCTTCCACAAAATTTTAATTGCCAATTCACCCCCTCTTGGCCGATTCCGTCAATCGATTAACTCAACAATTGGTATAAGAGCCTAACTCATTTGAAGGTTTAATCGCCTCTTGATTCGATTCGGGAAGAGTTACATCGATAATTAAAGTCATCAATGACCTCTACTTCAAACTTCGACTCCGGTCTCGATTCGATGCCCGTCAACAAGCCTCCTTTCTTCAATGAGGCTAACTATGCCTATTGGAAAAATAGAATGATGTACTTTATTCAAGCAAGTGACATGGGAGCATGGAATGTCGTAGAAGAAGGATACTTCAAGCCTCTCACTCATCCAAGATTATGGAGTGAAGGAGAGACTAAAATGTTTCAGCTCAACTCCAAAGCCATCCATATTATATTTTGTGCTCTTGGACCAGATGAATACGGAAGAGTTTCATCTTGTACAACTGCCAATGAAATATGGGACAAACTTTAAGTCACTCATGAAGGTACCGATGAGGCAACGAAATCTAAAATTAGTATTCTAACGCATAGCTATGAAAATTTCAGTATGAAACCAAATGAAGATATCAAAGCTATGACGGATAGATTCTTAACGATTGTCAATGGTCTCAAATCATATGGAGAGATCATTTCAAATGAAAAGCTTGTGAGGAAGTTAGTTTACTCACTTCCAAAATCATGGCAATCAAAGAAGACGGCAATCATCGAGTCTAAGGATCTAACGTCCTTAACTCTTGAAGAGCTAATCGGTTCACTCCTCACTCATGAAATGATGCTTGAAGATGAGGTGGACCTCGATAATATTGAAGAGACACCAAAGGAGAAGGAGAAAAAGAAAAACATTGGAGTTTCTCTCAAATCCACAAAAGATGAGAGTGATTCGGATGAAGATGACGATGACGAGGAAATGGCATTGTTTGCCAAACGGTTCAGAAAAATGATGAGACCTTACCGAAGAAGAAAATTCAAACGAAATGAAGGCCTAAAAAATGAACCAAAAGAGAAGGACCCAATCATTTGCTATGAATGCAAAAAGCCAGGGCATGTCAAATATGATTGCCCACAATTGAAGAGAAAAGGTCAATCAAAAATTAAGCACAAGGCTCATGTGGCTACATGGAGCGATGAAGAAGGTTCCGATGAAGAGGAACAAGAAGTAGCAAACTTGTGCTTGATGGCATTCGGGGAAGATTCTAAGGTAACCTCTAACTCATCTGATTTTGATGATATATCCTATGATGAGCTATTAGAGGAATATAATGGGTTGGCTTCGGATTATGAGAAATTGTTTTTAAAATATAAAAATGATGTTTCAAAATTGAAAAATGAAAATAAACTCATATCCAAAACCAACAACGATCTTGAAAGTAAAATCAAAGATTTGCAAATCAAACTAGAAGAGTTTGAAAAGAAACATTTGGACTTGCAAAATTTACTTTCAAAGGCCAATGATGATCATCAAAAGAAAATTGATGATCTTAAAGCTTCTTTTGATAAAGTTGGAACAAAATGTTTTGAAAATGGAGAAAATTCAAAATCCAACTTTGTTAGAAAAAGTTTTAAAAACTACAATCATAGTGGTTCCCAAAGAACCTCTAATGGAAAAATCGTTAGAAATATATGGGTTCCTAAAGAGCTCATTACTACTAAAGATAAGGATATCCTACACAAATGGATACCTAAGGGCACTAGGATTTTGGAAACTAATGGATATGGACCCAAAAGAATTTGGGTACCAAAAATTAGAAATTAATCTATGTTTGTAGGAAAAGGAGCATTGCTACAAGGCACGGGAAACAAATCCAAATTCATGGTACCTTGATAGTGGATGCTCAAGACAGATGACTGGAGACAAAAGCCGGTTCATTGAGCTTAACGCCAAAAATGGAGGAGAAGTGACTTTTGGTGATGATTCAAAAGGTTATATTGAAGGTATAGGTACAATAGGTAATACATATTCCATACAAATTAAAAATGTGTTATATGTGAATGGATTAAAGCATAATCTCTTGCGTATTAGTCAATTATGTGATAAGGGATTCAATGTCATATTTGAAACTAATGGTTGTAAAGTCATTGACATTGCATCTAATAGGATTATGCTTGTTGGTCATAGAATAGGAAACATATACATGGTGCATTTAGACTATATAGAA